GATTCGAAAAACATTTTTTGGATATGTTCAGAACATTTTCAATGTGTAGAGCAATCAAAGGTGATATTTCTTTAGGATATTCAATTGGTTTCAACATTTCATTTCGTATTAGAAAGCACAAAAAAAAAATCATATAAGAACATATATTATTATAAACATTCCATGTTGAAGAAAGTGGGTTGGGTAATTCTTGTGAATAAACACATTATCAACAAATCATTCATAGATTTCATATGCTGGCATCCTATAGATTAGAAATTCTCTGAACCTATCAAAACAGTATTTTCTTTTGAATCCATATTTGAAATTAAGCTAGAATAAAAACTCACCACATGTGGAGCATAAGTTGCTCTTTTGAATAGTGTACTATGAAAGACAGCTTTCTAGTCAAATAACTACATGGCAGTTGACAAACATAAATGGTTCGATAGTTTTGAAAGGATGAAAAAAAAAGGAGGAATGCTGAGATTGTTTTGTCAATAAAGTCTTAACAGATCAATGAGTCGATCAGAAATATTCTGCATGTATACTGGAGCCTATATTGTTCGAAATATTGTATACAGAGTATTAGAATTCATCGAGCTATTGAAATATAAGAGAAGAAAGAGAATAGTTGCATGACTGTTATAGCTACTGTATGAATAAATAATCGCTTCTATATTAGAAAGCATTCGATTCAATTACATTATTTACATGCGATTTATTTTTTAATGACTACTAGAAAAAAACCAGCATTAGTATTTTGATGCAGAGAAAGTAGTTTTTTCTTGAATTCAGAAAGAATAAAGCATCCTATAAACGAACAACTTAATATCACCAATATCAAGCTTTTTTTTACTACAGGTTGGCTTGATCAACTGTTAGAATCGTACAAGAATGCGAGCAAGATTTTATATTCTATTAGTGGTTCTGCTGTTGTCGGTTGCGCGTAAGTTTCATGTTTTGTTTCTAACTTGATTAATATAAGTCTATTTTTTACTCGATTTCAAACAGTTTTTGTAAATGTGCAAGGATCATTCGACGAAGATGGAGGTAAATACGAATTATGTGCTCAAAGTTGCCGCCAACTAGAAAGTCCACGTCAGAGATCCAACTGTTTCAGGAGTTGCAGAATAAAAGCGACTCCATAATATATTATGTGAAATACTGTTTGAAACATTAAAACTGAATTAACTACTGAAATTATTTTTTTTTACTCGATTTATTAAATAAAGAATTCACTTATATGCATGCTAAACACTACGTTTATATATATTTAGAAGATAATATATTTTTCGTTGAATATTTACTTTAGGGAAAGGCTGTTCTAGCTATGTCCACAAATCTAAATCAGAGCAATGAACATAAATACAAATCAATGCTTCCCTACTGTCTTCTTACTGTGGCTTCATAAGTGTCGTAGGTCGTATTGAATTCACTCTTGAACAATGTTATAGAATTCTATCTTTTATTCATTTGATTATTTTCGTGTATGCATCGCATATCTTGAGTATACTCCTTTATATAAATATAATGGTATTCATTTTCCCAATGTATAACGGAGTTAAAGAATTATGAGACGACCAAAGGGAATCGGTGGCTTCTGATTCGATTACTATTCATTTTGATATTTTTCAACACAAACCATTTGCTAGGTGTATGCATGTAGTATAGTCGTAGGAACTCAGGAATATTCTGTTTGTCAGAGACGGAATCTTGGCTGATCTGAAACAGGCATAAAATGGTCAGATTTATGCCATAGAAGGTAAGGATGTCCGAAATTTTTCTAATATAACGTTTGCAAGTCGTATATTTGTCAGTGCATCCATTCTATTTTCATCGGCGTACCTCATGTGATTTTTCTCACTGGGATGTACCTTGAGCATGACTTAAATAGACTTTTATCGGCAATATTGATATTTTCAACAGTACCATGTTGACAATGAAACTTGAGCAATGACAAGTGCGATAGAATATATTCAAGCTAGTGAGAGCTTATTCAGATAAAAGAATCGAAGTAATACAAGGTGAATGTTGCCTATTCATCAGGAGCAGTTGCCGTAGGATAGTAGTTGCTTTCAATGCATGTCCAATTGGTTGAATAAACTGCAAATATTTTCATTTTTCTTTTTCAGTTCTGTTCCTTTTAAGACAATCAAAATGAATTTTCAAGAGAAAGACTTCATTCGAAAATTTTCGACGTGAATGCTGGTACCAGGGTGTAGATCTTACACACAGGATTCATTAAGTTTACTCTGATCGTAGTCTAATAATGTCAAGTATGGTGAAGCAAGATCTTTATATGTTAATAACTGTAACTAGAATAAGAAAAATATTCTTTAGGTATAAGAAACATGATGTCATAAAGTTGCATGCTATCTCATTGCTGTTTTGACTTGAGCACAACACTTAGTCCGCATGTTGTTCTACTAATATAATGTCGAGCTATAGTTATAGAATGAATAAATTGCTCTTTTAACAAAATATTGCTGTAACTGGCAAGTAATGGAGAGAAATATTCTTTGATCACACTCAATACCACATTGAAAGATCTTCTACAATCAACAACAGAAATGAAATTAAAAGATTTTGAGTATAAAACCTTTTTATCACTACTTATTACCGCTTTCAATAACACTACAAGATACGAAATCGATCTATGAAACACTGTGGGAATTAATAACAATGATGTTGTCATTTTGTGCATGAAATGGAAATTGTCATACTTCATGTTTTGAGGTGTGTCGGAAGAAAACCTTAGAAACGGTTTTATGCTTTCAAAACGTGCGCACCCAGCAAAAACAGAGAGAGATCTGCACAGATTATAAGCTTTATCAAAAACATAGAGTACCGTGAAACGGCGTGGGACAGCTGTGCAGATAGCTGTGGTATACAGAATTAGTCGTAATTGGCGTCATGTTAATAAAAGAGATTGGAATACTGCTTTTAAATACTGTCACTCCTAGTAAATATTTTCTTTTACAATTATCAAATGGGAATAATGTGTATTGCTTGACTTTACCAGAAGATTCCATCTAAAAACTTTTGTTTTTCATCCACTTACAAAAAACAAACACCAACTATAAATGTGATTTCATTTCAGCAATTGGCTGGATCTTAAGCATGTCTTGAAACAACGAGTGTTCCATAGTGATTTTAACTCCTCTTCATTGATCATAGTTAACAGCGGTAAAAAATCCTAAACATACTTACCATGGTGTATTTCATCTCAAACAGACTCTAGAATAAGAATATGTCATATCTCTATCCTAGGTCAACGAAATAAACTGATTTTTTTCTGTTGGATGATAGAGGCTGACTCAAAGCTTTTGTTTTATATGAGCAGGGCTAATCAAGGCCGCATTGAACTAGCATCATTGGCTGAAATTAAAAAAATGTTCTTAACAGATTTATTATACTGTGTGTAAATTTATCTTCGAGCTGTGCACTTGATTATTGTTTTCATTCTTTGTCGCTTACTTGTTTTCTTCTTTCGTTGCAAGAACATCGCATATGCAGTTGTCTCTATCAATAAAATGTAGAATTTCCTTCCATTTTTCTCTTTCTCCCATATGTTGCGCAGTTGTGAATAGAGAAAAACACGCTTCAACTATATTTTTTCCAATTACTTCTTTCTGTTCTTTATCTTTCGACGTTTATAAATCGACCCATCTTTTCTCTAACTCTCGATTTCTATTACATGTCTTGTAAAAAAGCATATATTCCTTCTTTAAACTAAGTATTAGATATGGCTCCACGCCAACTTATTCTGAATGAAAGATTGTGAATCGTGAAGCATTAATACAAACTTGAATACCCAATCCAAGTTCAGAGATAGTGGCGCAAGTAAATGAAGAACGAACATCCTGTTTTATCAACAATAACTAAATTAATGAATAAATTCGAGCAGACTTAATCTGTGCTTCACATTCAGCCGTAGGTGGCAAGACCACGCACTACCCTTAGCAAAGAATAAGCTTTTGTATTGTCCATTTTTGTATGCATGTTTATAGATAGCAAAGGAATTGTCAATAAGGTCCACCAATGGCACAAATCGTAATATCCAAGGGGCCGTTCGTCCATTATACTAAGTCAATAACGATAGGTAAGATTACACTAAGATGTTACAAATTTTATCATCTATAGAACAGAAAAATGTTCTTCTTGTCTTTATAAATGCGAAACCAAGTCCATTTTAATTGTCCATGCGATGTCTTCTTTCATTGATTCAGTATGACAAGTATATTTCAACACTTTTTACTTGTCTTAGTGAATACAATGAAATGTATGTTAAGTAATATAGAGTCCAAATGTCTCATGTCAAAGAAGTCCGATAGTGACGAGTACATTACAGATATTTGATACAGCGCCTTGCTGAAAAGTGTCTCGGTATCTAGATAGTCGAGAGAAACGGCAAAGTGTCTGATGAAGTATTTGGCTCCTGTGTGACATTCCTCATAGATAAAAGTTTCTACGAATTAGCTAATTGAGTATCCAAAATGATCCAAGTACTAAAAAAATATCTGTGACATACTGGTAACAGAATACACGTTCCACTATCGTAAACTGAATACTTTCACTAGTGTTGGCATCACTTTCTTTCAAATTGCTTTGATAGTATCGAAATTCTTGATTATTTTACATAGTGTACAAGAAATGACTGCCATCTATTTGAATTCATCTAGGATTTGCTGTTACGAAGGTTACAATATTAAAAAAAATCATGAATAATGTCACCTATGTAGGAAAAAACTGAAAGCAAGAAAAAAGGTAAAAAAAAGAACAGTCATATTTTTATCAAGCTTGTTTATGAAGCTATTCATCATGCTAATGGAAGTAACAACTAACGAAGAAGAATAAATTGAGACCATTTTTTCCCCATCTGTTAATAAGAAAAAAAAGTGTTCACATTTATTTTTCTAGATCTTGCTTATAAAGCAATGACTGATATAGGACGTAGTTCGATTGAAAACGATTTTATGTACGGTAGTAATGTGGCGTCATGTCACGTTTACATACGCATGCGTAAGTTGAACAACATTCTATGTTCATTATCTTCTTTTCATTAATATGATTTCATAGAATTTTTACGCAAGGTTTATGGTATTGTTGCAACTCAACTTTGTTTCGTTGCTCTTGTATCAACAGTGATAATGTCATTCGAAAATGTTAAACTATTTTTTCAAAATAATCCTGGTTTTCTTCTTCTATTATTTTTGGCAACAATGGTCAGCTTATTTGCTGTATATCTTAAACGTTTAGAATATCCAACAAATTTTGCATTACTTGCACTTTTCACATTTTTTGAATCATTAACAATTGGTACATTTGTTTCATTTTTTGACAAAATCTTAGTTATACAAGCAATTATTTTAACTGCTGTTATCGTTGGAGGTTTAACATTATATACATTTCAAACAAAGCGGGATTTTTCAGCTATGGGTGCAAGTTTATACGCACTTTTATGCGTTTTAATTGCTGGAGGTTTAATTCAAGTAAGGAAAGGTTTTTTTGTAAGAAACTTGTTTGTTTTTTTGTCCTGATAGATTGTCGCTCGAAGTCCAGTGATGGAATTGGGTCTTGCATTAAGTGGTGCACTTGTATTTAGTCTTTATTTAGTTTATGATACACAACAAATAATGCGTAAAACTTCACCAGAAGAATATATTGATGCAGCAATACAAATATATCTTGATATAACACGTTTATTTATTGAAATCTTGCGTCTACTTGAAGCTGCACGTCGTCAATGACAGTAAAAAGAAAAAAAAATCATAGAACTTTTGTTTTATTTCATTGTTGTCTCTCTACTAATCATGTAAAAGCAAAAATCATATTCTCTTATAATAAATATCATATTCTAGATTTATGCTATAATAATAACAAATATAACTGAAACAAAAAGTCCACCAATTAATCCCATAAAAACAATAGCTAGAACATTAGCTGGTAATAAACGTATTGATTCACCTAAACGATTTATCCATGATAATTGTTGTTTATTATGAATAAGACTATCTAATGTGTGACTCGGCTGTTGTTGTTGTTGTTGTTGCTGTTGTTCCATTAATTCAATAGCAATAACATCATTTTTAACATGATCAACTGTTGTTGTTGAATCATAACGATTATCATGTATATATTCTAAATTTCCACCAAATGATGGAATATTAATCGATGATATTGTTGGTGTTTGTGATATTTGTTGTCGATATGATGAAAGAAATACAACATGATTTGGTAAAACATGTGAATCGGCACTATCACTTGTAGAATCTGGTATTGGGTGAATACGTGTACGATTTGTTTTACGAATTAGTGTTGTTGTTGTTGTTGGTTGAGTTCTTTTAGAAAATTCTGCTCTACGTTCAGCTACTGATAGAGGTATATAACTTGTTTCATTTGTAGTTGATATATCTGTAGGTGATGGAATATTTTTTACTAGTTCCACTATACGAGTAACTTCATTATTTGATGGTGAAGACAATGATGAAAGACCAGCATTACTATTTATTCTTTGTTGTTTTTCGAATTGATTTGGTAGACTTTCATAACCTGTATCATCTTCCGAGGATTTTTTTGTATGAATTTGAATATTAGTAAAGGGTAAAGATGTTTTATAATGATTATTCGATGATGCTCGCATGATAAAAAATGAGAAAAAGAAAAACGAAGGCAAGCAAGAATTTTTAAATAAGTTAGTTTTAGTTATCAGATGATTCTACTTTTAGAATACATTATTAGAGAGAAAAAAAAACACGCGCGATAGAAGATTTTAAAAATTAAATATTTCATATTTTAGATATTTTTTAATGATTATTTCGATCGAAATAATTAATAAAATATTATCATAGTATATTTATTTAAATGGCTATGAAAAATTTCTCATGAAACTATTCATCTATAGATTTATCATAGAATAAAAATGATGATTTTATACTTGACGATACTACTTTGTCTAATTTTCTTTAGATATTATTCTTTTTTTTTGTAAATCTATGATGAAGATCGAACGTTTCTTCATTTGAGTTAATACTCATGTAGATGCAGCGAGAGAGTCAGATTATTCTCCTTTCAAAAGATTTTAGAAAAGAAAATGCTCTTTTATTAATTAAGTGATTGAATGTGCTATGCAATCAGCGTGGGTTGTTTTGTTAAGAACTAATCATCCTCTGTTATTACTAGTTGAAAAGACTCTAATTTTTATTTAGTAGATAAATATCATCATGCTATACGCTGATATCAGAAATGTCTCTAGAAACATATAAAAAAATGTATATACTTTTTTTTTAAATTACTTTTTGCAGAAAATTATCAAATTTTAAAGAAATTTCTTTCTATATACCTCGTTCTGGTAAACTTGAATAACTTTTATTTGATAAGTAGATACTTCATTTTCAAATGAGAAAGAAGGGTTTTGTATTCGACGTTCAATATCAAAACAATCATAAACTTTCTAAAAAAGAAAACATTAACTAGAGGACTTTCGAGAATCTGAAAAATAAAAAAAAACTAAAAACATTTTCTTCATTCGAAGTGGTGAGGAGATCTTTATCAAATGATAATAACTTGATTATCATACTTTGACGTTTATTGAAAAATCCATTTACACACGTAAAAACTTGATTTTTTATCTCGGTCTCCTAGATATTTCCTTAAGAGAATCGAAGGTTGGAATAGTCTTACATCTAACTGAAAATACATTTTTCTTGCCTACAATTTAAGAACACTGAATACTGAAAGTGTTGTCAAGGAATTAGAAAAAATAAAGAATTATCGTTTAAAAAAAATCAATTCTCCTAACGATATGCAATTCATAGGATTTGACAGAATTTTTTCTTGATTGAGTGAAATCACATAAACGATTATAAAACTTAGTTAATGTCGATTACGCTTTAGCATTAAGTATTTGTAAGTATGTACTAAACACAATAGCAGCTATATTGTTTTTTACATTTTAATTCAATAGAGATTGTGCTAACAGCTTTGAAATTTTTTTAGGATACGAAGTTTATCATCATATGTATTTGTATTAAGTCTTCTATATATGAAACGTCTACGTTCTCTTCATTCATTATGTTGATTAGCAAGAATTGATAATTTAACAACAAAAGAATTATATGTAATAGTGACATTACTTGCTGATAAATATCTTATTGATGAAGGTGAAGATGAACAATTATTTAATTCTGATTTAGTTGAATTAACTGATATTACAAATGAAGGTTTTAACTTAATTGAACAACAAGTTTTATTAGCATTAAATTGAAATTTATTTGTATTGAATGATGAATTTAGACAATTTTTCTTTTATTTAGAAGTCAAATAGAAAACAGATTTAATAAAAATATTTAAATATTTAAAAAAGATGATACAATAAAATTTTATTCAATTTGCTTGAACGTTCTACCTCATATTATGGAATATTTTGCATTGACAAATTTGTTTCTAATTGGTATAACTCTTTAAATTTTAATTGCAATTCGTTTTGGTATTTTAACACACTCAACATTACTCAAAACATTGAATCCCACTATAGATTGTTTACAATCTTCTGTTTTTCTATCAAAGTATGTTAAATATAATTAAATAATTTGTTCTTTCTTTAAATTCTAGATCATTATGGATATACGAATTTGAATCTAAGAAAATAAATGAATCATTTTAAATTAGAAAAATATCCATTGATTCAAAATACAATTATGGATACTAATCATGAATTAAATTTATCAATAAATAGATTACCCAATCTATTATTAATTACTTGTTCTTGTTGTCCACTTCATCTTATTCAATCTTTTAAATTGAGTAGAACAATTATCGAATGTTTCAAATGAAAAATTGACATACATATTTTTCTAGATTTTATTTTTGTTATATTTTGTGATAATCATTCTTTGAGTGATTTTTGTTGATTTGTAAGGTACATTATGAATTTTACTCTAATAAATCTTTTAATTAAAACGGACTATTGATACTGCAGAGAAGAAATGATCAACAGGAAAGAGGAAAGCAACAATAAGATAATTTATATAAGAAAAAAATATCATAAATTGTAACAGTTTGTTTGATTATGTATTATCATTATAAAAGTGCATTTAATATAACAGATAAGAATGATAGCGATAGTATCAATTTTTTTTTGTTCTTCTAAATAATAAAATTGATCTCAACTTTTTCACCACACAAATGTTAGTTAGTTTCGCACTACAATATTTTGTTTCAAAAACAAATATTCAACAGCATCGAAATCCGTCTCCGTCTTTTGTTTATAAACTTGATAATTTTGAAAGATTACATTAAGTAAATTACTTAATAGTTTAGTTGCTTTTTATGTTATAATAGTTTAGATGAATTTTGCATAAATATTATTAATTAAAATATATTTTCATAAAATGATTACTTGATTGTGGTCTAATAAACTTTAAGCATTTATTTAGGAAACTTACTAATTCAAACTATTGGAAAATTGATGCAAATAGTACATGATAATATGGTTAGGCTTGAAACTTGAAATTTATGTAGTATTAAGTAGGTATAATACTGATTGAAATTTTTAAAGACTGCTTTTTCATTTATATCAGTATATTCATGAGGAGATTACTAATATTTAAGATAAGAATCACATATTTATATTTGATTCTAATTGACGTATATTGCACAAATGTCTGCAGGTGTTCGAGACAAGGAAAATTTTTTTAAAGTTGCTTTTCTCATGTTTTATTAATCTAACACAGATAAACTATAATGACGTTGTTTTTTTTTTGAAAGAGTTGTATATTCTTGAGATACAATCATACAATCTAAATAATGAAAAGAAAACAGTTGACGAAATTTCAATTATTGTATTATAATTTATCGAAAGAATGATGTAAAACAAAGTGTGTGCAAGAAAAACATCAGGAAAGAACAACGCCAATGTTGTCTGAAGCACAAAATAATAACATCATACCTATTAAAATACTCCTTAAAAAAATCAACGAAAGCGAATTTCAAAGCTTCGTAAAGATAAAAATTTTACATAGAAGTTCGCTTTAATCTAGTCCGATATTTTGAGTTTAAGTGTTTATCAACAGCATACTTTATTAGAACTAATCATCCGTGAAGAATTCAGTCCGAACGAATCATATTGAACGGAAAATTCATTCTGATGAGAGAAAATAAATCAATCATTTGTGAAACTTCAGCCTTTGAAGCGAATCGTCGAAATGTCGAAGAAAAATCCAAATCCTATTTTCGTATTATTCAATATTCTTCATAAACAATCCGAATAAAATTTTTCATTGCGAAGCTCCATTAATCATGAATTGTATATATGTATGGTTTCTTTAAAGTAATGCAAAAAAAAAATTGTATTATATGCAATACATTCGAATGACTTCATAGCAATGGTTCATTTCTTATTGCTTTTTATATTTTTCATATTTTCAGTATTAACAAACGCACAAGTCGGTAGGATATTTAACTAATATTTTCGCTAAAAATAAAGATAAATATATCTATTCTTATATGTAACATAGAAACTGAAAGTTCTCTTACAAAATCAGCATGGTTTTGGCCTTTATTGACTATTTGTCTCATACTTATAGTTGGTATTCCATGTATATTCATTATTGTATTTGTTATTTGCCGTGTGAAATATAAATTAAATTATGATTCAGATGCATCAAGTATGGGTTCAAATTTATCATCCTCATCATCATCATTACCAAGAGTACCAGTTCAACAAGAAAGACGACGTATACACTCTCGTCATCAACGTTCGCGTCACGTAGAAGGTTTTCGTACTCCACCGCCTCCTTATACAACAACTGAACAACCACGAACTCTTTTTGTAACAACATCACCCCCACCTTCATATGAATCTCATGTTAATGAAAATGCATCAACAACAAATTCTTCAGCTGTAATTAATATTCCATCGACAGGACCTATTGAGAATTCAACAACAACGGCAACAACAACAACAAGAACACTCGATGTATCATCATCAACAATAACAAATCCATCTATACAAACATTTCATGCTTAAAAAAGAGAATACGTCAAACGCATCTCGTTTTTTTTTTCTATTCAATGTGCATCTTTCGTTTTTGTGCATTTTTTTTCAAGGAAAGGGAAAAAAACGTCTTATTCGTGACTGCCGTTGCTATAAGAGCAAAAAAAAAGAAGTATAAAACGAAGAACAAAAAAAAAAAAGAATATGGATGATGAAGCATCGTGAACGAATAGAAAAGCTATGAGTTAATTTATTTACTCGACAGAATAAATTTTGTTTGATTAGTATACGAAAAAAAAATACAGTAGATTAAATAAGAAAGAAACAGATGTGCGTAAAAAGAAGACTTATATCCACATCGAAACATATACATATATATATATATATATTTCATTCAAATGCAACCAATAAAATAAGTAAAGCTTAACTAACAAATGCATTAACAGACAGATAGCATCATCTTCTCTAGATATTTGATGAAAATTGATCAAAACGAATGGGAAATTGATTGTTAGGTGGTTGACTGAGATCAATGTAAGATTTTTAGAAGTAATCGTATTGAATACAAAACATCATCATGAATGAGACTAACTACAGCAAACGTAGCTGATTTTGTACAGTTTCATTTGTTTTATTAAAGTCAAATTTAATATCATGAAGACCGTCTTTTGTATTTCAATATCAAACCAATCTTTTTACAAAGAAAATTAAAATTGAAGAATTATCCAAATTTATTTAGCTTCGCAATACCAATTTCGATAGCATTTAATACATCCTCACTCGTTCAATTCAGCATTATGATTTATATTCCAGTTTGAAAATGAATATATGTACTGAAATTCATTGTTTCTTATGATTAGAGATCTTTTTCATTCTTGAATTTCATTACTTAAATGATGCTAACGATTGCAGTTTGTCGAACTCAATTGCTAACAAAATTCATTTACTCGATCATTATACAATAAAAAACAATTTGATAAAAGTTCAATTTTTTACAAACCATATTTTTAATGTGCATTTTAATACTTGATTATTATCAATTGATAGATTTCGCATTCCCGTTCTCGTTTTGTTCGTAGCTGTTAGTAATGTTAATTCATACGAAGATTGATTTTACTATTTTATTAACATATCATTTTTTTTCAAGTACGAAGTATATCTGGAAGCCAGTAATGGAATTAGAAATATGTAACTGCCTTGAGAGCATCCTTCTCAACAGCAAACACTGGTACATAGATCAAACTATTCCGTTGGACAAAATAGACACATCAGTCAAACTTATGTATCAAATGGTTGATATAACAAATAAAAGAAGACAGACAATAAAAAACATCAAGCGATCAAAAAAATATATCTTTCAAAAAAAGAAAAAGGAAATCTTTCGATTTATATTCATTTATAAGCATTACAAGAGTATAAAAAAATATTTAGCGATGACGAATTTTTTTTCTTATTATAGATTAATTATGATGTCAGTGTGGATCTTGTTTTTCAGTCTCATCCATCCATACTCATGCTTCACTGTCACGGCCGCATCGATGCATCATTAGATCTAGGACACGTTTTTGAAACGATTCAGTCTATAACGATATGTAATTTGAATCACTTTATTCGAATATGTCAACGATAAATAACCTTTTCTGATGTTTCTTTGAACAAGTTTTATGTCCCATAGACCGCAAAGAAAGTGATGATTATCAAAAATAGTTCAACCGTAAATGAATTAGTACTTAGTATCTTTGTCGTCATCTTCATAGGATTCTTCAATATTTATTACGGTGCCTTCTTTGACGAGAATCTTTTTGTTGAACATTCATATCGTTGACATAAGACGTATAGACAAAAGAAAGTGTTGAGCTTAAGTATACGATATATTTATTGAGATTTGAATTGAATTCAGACTATTTGATTTTAAAAAGCATATATACTAGTGTGAGTATGACTTCTTCTTCATCTAGAATGATCGATAACTTAGACATGTCGACTGTTTTTCTGTTGCTGTCCGATACTTCCTCTATATCAATTATAATTAAAGCATTTCCGAACATTTCTGCCATCTATCGAGCTTTCAACGTAGCCCCTCTATAAACGATTCCGATGTAGGGTTTACCGTGACGCTCGACGTATAGATTAAACAATGTTTCGTAATGTCCTAGGTTTTTAACATCTAAAGCATAATGGTCGCCTAAGCGTTGATGGAATGCTCGAAATAAAAATTATGTTTGCGTGTCAAGTCTAATGCAGTGTTCGAGTATCGCTTGTTCACCATACTTTATCATCTCAAGTAGACTAGTATTCATTGTTTTTGCTTCATTCTTACACCTTCTTTCTTTGCCGATCGCGACAATATCATTTACATTCGTACAAGGTGATCAGCTCTGGAGCCTTTAAAATACACAAAAATTTCACAGTAATGTCAAAGCCATGTAATATGACAAAAGCGTTTTGGTCGTAGAAAAGATGGACGATTAGAAGAAGTTGCTTGCATAGAAGACATAGAATGAGTTAAGATGAGATTAAACGACATGAACCACTGATCGCTTCGTCGTATACACCAATTTCTCATTGAAATGACAATCAGAGAATTAAACTAAATGATAAAATTGTCGAATGCTTGTTCACTCAGTGCTGTTTGTTTTAATTTTAGAAGAAAATAAGAGGGCAGCGAATAAAAACGAAACAATCTCTGTGTGATCAGCAAGAATTGTCAAAAGAAACAATGAATGAAAAAAGACGAACAAAAATAAAGTGAAACGAAAACTATAAGAAGAATAACAAGAAAAAAAAACAAAATAAAACAGACAAGTTGAGAAGGTTGAGAGTAATTGTAATAGATACATGAAGTAACGCGATACTCATATGATTGAGTCATATATTATGCAATTCAACTATTTTTTTAAAGATTGTGTGTGGGCGTCGGATGTCATCGTCATCCATACTCCATCCTCCCTCCATACGGAAAAACGAAGGTGAAGCCATTTATTCGTCTGAAAATGATTATTGGTTATCCTTTCATGTGTAATTGTCAAAGATTCTTTATTCAATAGATATTCATATTGAAACTATCTGTTTAGGCTTATGTCAAAACAAGACTTTAGTAGTTATCAAAACTCAGTCATCATCGCCATGTTCGTGATCAAAAGTGACCTGTTGAAAAGATGCAAAGGCTCATAAGAAGGAACGAGGAACTAAATGAATTTAAGATAAAATACATCAATCATGCAGTGAATAATTGCAATTCGAATTTCAATAGAAAAAGCTATGTATTTTTTTTTTCTTTCGACAAATAAAAATGGAAATCTTAAGACATCAAACAATGAAATGGGGTCTACAAATTCGAAAACAGAACTCCCATTGTTGCTGTTTTTCGGTTACAATTGAACAAAATTGAGTACGAACGTGAGTGTAAAAGTCTGTGTAGGCAAAAGGAAGGACCACGCTCATACCCATTCATCAACACAAAATACATTCTCGATTTTGTGCAAATGTCCTGTATGAATTTTTGTTCGTTTATATGTATGCAAAGTACGAAATTCGTACCTTTTCATGTCTGCATAATAAGTCCATTGTTTGGAATTTCATCTTCACATTCTGTCTATTAATTTTTCTTGAATTCAACATCGAAAGATTAGTATCTGGTTTTGTTGATGTCCTCTTTTGCAACTATCGAGTGTTCAGCTGTTGAAAATGTTGGATTCAGAATACGCGAAACTGGAAGCGAGCATACAGAAGAAGACAAATTTTGTTTTTTCTGTCACTAAACTAACAAGTTTTGGACCATGCTCCATCGATCAACGATAATGTCAACCACATCTTCATCACTTTTGTTTACAGCATCTAGATACCAATCATCAGCGAAAAGACCGAGATTATCAGCATTAAAATCGCCTAATTTCACGAGAAGAAGTCTTTGAGACTGTTGATCTTGCCAACCGGCCATAAATCGATCTGTAATCGCTCGCCAATCGTTATAACACAAGTTACAATCATGATATGTGGGCGAAAGAAAGACTATTACTAGAGCAGCTCGTTTGTATATGTGTTTTGAAGTTTTTCGACGATCGATTATACTCATATTTGCATGGACAGTCGGAAGGTCGAAGATCAAATTCGAAGTATCTGGCATTGTAATATGTTTTCGAAGAAGTTCACTAATAATTTGCACTCGAGTAGTTGTTTCATCATGGTAGGAGAGAGCAACATTCACGGGATGTTGCGAAACACTAGGTGAGTGTAATGGTGGAAAAATTGAATCTGGCGAAGGAGTAGCCAGTTCTAAAATAAATGAATTAGTTTGGTGTCATTCAATCCTTAACTCTTCCTCTTATGTTTGTACCTTTTTTCACTCACACTATAGGACTATATGAATGTTTACTCTCCATAAATAATGTTTTGAATTGTTTCAGCGAGAAAATAAAGATTAATAGTAACTTTTGTGGGGTAACTTCTATTACCGTACTCGTAAAAACTCACTAATTTGCCGTTCTTATACTGGACATCTAAGACAAGTTACAAAGGAAACTTGAAGTTCTCAAAATAGAAAACAGCATGTTGACATATGATGCATGATTTGTAGAGCAGACTAGGAGTTCATTTGTCTTAGTCTATACCTCTACACAATCTCAATATTTAAATCATTATTTTAGTTATAACAACCGTCTCATGGTCAAAACCTTCAAAACTATTTAATATGATAGCATTTTTGTTCATACCTATGGAACGAATAGTGAAGGGTCATTTTTTCTCTGATCATATACTTCAACTATGATTAACATCTATGTTCACAAATTCTATTCTTAAATTCGCATTTGTTTGCGTACAGGCATCTTTTTTCGACGAATTCATCTATTTTCCAATTCTACTACAGCATCGACTTTTCGATATAAAAGAAAAACTCACCATTGGTTGACGAAAGGGATACCATTGGTTCATCATCAAGAGTAACAATTCCAGCGACACCAACACCTGAACAACAAAGATAACAATTGATATTATCGGAACATATTTTTGCATATTTACGTTCTAAAGTTGAT